TAGAATTAACTGAATTTAAGTTTGCAAATACTTCTTTCTGACCAAGTGAAACGATCCGTTCAGTCCTCTTAGATGACTAAACGAGAATGTTTTAACGGTAAAATTTGCAAGAGTATGAAACAATTTCAATGAATATATCATTCATTTGTAACAAATTTCAATTGAACAGCAAATAAAAACCACTGAAAATATAGCAATGTAGTCATTAAAAATAGAGCAAACAATGCTTAAATATTTGAAAATAATAGACACNAAAGAGGACGAAATAGAAGGGAATGACCGGACATCATAATACTGGATCTACAAAGATATACTCAAAAAACGAGCAATTTTCCCTTATTTTCCATTATCACGCAATACATTTTGTTCTTTTTCAGGTCTAATAGTACGACTAAACTCGTAGAATGTGACTGCTTCATGAACTATTATCATAAAAGCGGGTTCAACTTATACTACGGGTTATATTTTAGTTCCGCTGATACAGCTTACCCTCACAAGCAGTAGTAATCAATTGGAAACGACATCTTGGATTAATTCACAGGAATGAAGTCAATACATAAAATGCGCATAAAAGAACGTACTGAATACGTAAATCTCAATAAATTTCGATTAGTTAAAAATATAAAAAAACAATTACAATTTATGAGTGCTCAATTACGATAATTTCTTCGAATTTTAAAAAAATATTCAAAAATATAGTCTCTGAGCATTTGTAAACTTCTGAAAAAATATCTGAAACACTGGGATATCTTAGCAATATGCCCGCATATCCAAGCAGCACAAATGAAAGAAGTAAAGTGCGGTGAATGGATCGATAAGCAAATCAAAGTGAATCATCATCGATATGATCAGTCTTATCATCATCATTATCATCAAGTGAATTCAATCTTCGTAAACGTTCTCGTTCCTTCGCTCGTTCGGCTGATATCAAGAGTTCGGTTTTTTGCGCAACCCTCTTGCATCCGGACGACGAATAGATCGGGTCCGATTTGGGGAAATACTGAAAATTATTACCTGCTTCAATCTTTCCGCTCATTTTTTCAAACTGCATCAAGCACTCGTCCAAAATCATCAAATGTCAATTTCTTTCCCTCCCTGCTTAAGAAATTTTTGAGATGCTATTGGAAGCGATTCGTCCCACGAATCTCAGCTCAAAGCATAATCCTTTTTGTTGCAATTACAACAATTAGATTCTTTGATCACTGTTTACGGTCATATAATTCAAAGTTTCGAGGGCAGTTTCAGCAACTTTTTATATGTTACTAACTGGTGGTAAATGAAACTTTTCGATGGCAAATGTGAGCAATCTCAAACGTAGCAGACTACGTATTCAGTTATTATTTAAAAGAATTTGCACCTGTAAGGAGTCAGCAATTTTTGCGATTCGTTCATCAGTCGGTGTGAAATTGTGTGATTTCATATAGTCTCGAATACACAATAGAACATGCCGCCTTTCCAGCGGTAGAAACGGTATGAAATGATCGATCAAATGCGTTGAAATCAGCTCACTCATTTTTAAACCACCTGAATTGAATGATGTTCTCGTCAAATACAATAGTTATTGTAAGATCGAACCCAAACCGTCATTATTCCAATAAATTTACTCCAAAAAAAGTATATCAATCTGCCCAATGACTAATTTGCATATAGCAAAATTTATCACTGGAATTTCCATTGTCCTCATAATCCATTGCTCTTCATTCAGATATGCCAATATTTAGAAACACAACGGAACCTTATTATGCTCATCGATAGCACAGACATCAAAATTTATTCGAAACCACTTGTAAATTTGTCCGTTTGCAGTAAATGAGAGATTTTTTTAACTACTTCAATCACTCAATCGAACATTTCAAGCAAATCTTAAGTATACCATCAGCGTTAAATGCACTCGGTATAAGAACTTTCTCCATTTCATTCAGTGTGATCTTTTCACGCAGTTCACCAGATTGGTAATGTTTTAGCGTTTTTTCGGTTATTTCATTACCACCAGAATTACTGCAAATGATCTGATAGTGTTAAATCAAATAATAATATATACATTACACTTTAAAATTCTTGATTGGTTTGTCTTGAGGAATTTTCGGAATGATTAATGGTTTGAAACTGTTATTAAATATAAGAAACTCAAGAAAAGAGATGCTGCGTTCGTCATCTGTTCAATAATAAAATTTTGCCATCTTGTAGCAAGTCATCCAAATTTCACGAAACAACAAAAGTGAATAAGACGAACTCACCTCAGAAAGATGAACACACTCTTTCGATAATCAATTCCCTCCAAGTGTTCATAGTGGTCAATGAACGGTTTTATTGCATTCATTACTGTCGGTGGCATCTTATCCACTTCGTCAAATATGAACAAACTTCGTTCACACATCGAAACGTTTCCGTGTATCCATTGTCGTAAGTTTTGCTAAAATAAAACCACTCATATATGATGTCAATAATCATTATATTTGAATTTATGTTTAACTGATGAGGAATCTGATCATCAGTCCGAATCAGCCTCATTAATATCAACTGATCCGTCTGTTCAAAGCAAACAACTTTCAGTCATCAAACAAGTTTGTTCGTTCCAGGATTATATTCCAGAAGCTGAATAATCTAACAATTGAAACCACTCAAAATCGCTTCCCAATCCAAATGTAAACGCTCCACTCAGCATATATCACACCATTCGTTCAGTTGTACTATTGCGATCATATTGTCATCAAAAATCGCTCATACGTTTCTAAACATTCAAAGCAGTATGCATCGATAAATGATTATTAAGATAATAGAAACCTGATAGATATTCACGTGTTCGGGATTAGCGAAGTGTAGTGTTGATATGAACTGATGT